ATATTGTGGATGATCGATGTATAATTGTTCGAAAGTCCTTTTTCACTTAAAGGACCACTATAGTGCCAGGAAAACACTAGTTTTCCTGGCACTATAGTGCCCTGAGTGTGCCCCCACCCTCAGGGACCCCCTCCCGCCGGGCTCTGGGGAGAGGAAGGGGTTAAACACTCACCTTTCTCCAGCACCGGGCGGGGAGCTCCTCTTCGGCTGAATGCGCATGCGCGGCAGGAGCTGCACGCGCATTCAGCCAGTCTCCTATGGATGCTTGCGTCGTCTCACTGTGATTTTCAAAGTGAGAAGCAAGCAAACGCATCTAGCGGCTGTCAATGAGACAGCCACTAGAGGCTTGATTAACCCATTTATAAACATAGCAGTTTCTCTGAAACTGCTATGTCTATAAAAAAAAATGGGGTAACCCTAGTTGGACCAGGCACCCAGACCACTTCATTAAGCTGAAGTGGTCTGGGTGCCTAGAGTGGTCCTTTTTTCATCCACCAAATGCTGACTAGTAAAATTAGCTCACCCCCTTACCTATTACTGAGCAGCCTTGCCGAAGTCCCATACTAACCCGACAACTGACTGGCACCCTTCCATCCCAAAATTGCCAAATGCCCCTCCAACTTACACCTGGCCCACCACATATTGACAGTAATGGACAGTTGCAATTGGCAGATCCTGTATTTGTTTAAGTCCCTTTTACCACGTCCGACCTGTTTAATTGGAAGACCCATAACTCCCCGTACACCGATAAACCTCAAGCCATGATTGACTTGGTCGCCTCTATTATACAGACCCATAATCCCACTTGGGTTGATTGTCAGCAATTATTACTGACCTTTAGAGTGTAAATGATGCTGACATGATCCATCTAAAGGCCATTAAACAAGCCATTATTACTGGCATGAAGGCAGTTGGGAAAAAGGCAATTAACATGTCCAGGACGGCTGAAGTGTTACAAAAAGTTAATGAATCACCAAGTGCTTTTTAATGAGAGACTGCTTGAGTCAAATAGATTGTACACTCCTTTCAATCCTGAAGCCCCTGAAAACTTCTGAATGATAGACTCAGCATTTGTCAGCCAGGCCCAGAGCCCAGAGAAAGCTAAAAAAATTTGAGGTATTTGCAGGGATATCTATATCACAGCTAATGGAGGTTGCAAATAAGGTGTATATGAATAGGGAAACTGAGAGAAAGCGTGAGGAGGAACATAAAATGAAGTAAAAAGACATTTTAGTGGTAGCTATTTCAGGTGTAGCTTGAGAAGGAGGGGAGAATAGGATGAGCAGGGTACCACTAGGTAGAGATCAATGTGCGTATTGTAGAGAGGAAGGGCACTGGAAGAGTGACTGCGCACAGAGGGGATATATTGCAGGTGGTAGACAAGAAGAGAGAAGAGGGCAAGGTGGTTATGGTAGCAGCTATAGAGGATGAGGTAGAGGAAGTTTTGGAGGGAGATATTATCCCCTTACCCAGAGATTAAGGGATAGGGAAGATAGAGATTTTGTAGGTCTGGCTGACACTGTCATGGAAGACTATTGATACCGACCGGGCTCCATCCCACTTGGCCGAGCGGAGCCTATGGCCAATAGGGGGAAAGAGAAGTCCTTTCATGATAGACGTGCTGAACATTCTGTGGTGACCAAATTGGTAGCTCCTCCTTCTGAGAAGATTATAACTGTGATAGGAGCTACTGGAAAAGTGCTGCTAGACTGATTCTCCGGAGTCGTACTTGCATTCTAGGAGGCCATTTTGTGAAGCACCAGTTCCTATACATGCCAGAGTGTCCAATCCAACTTCTAGGATGAGATCTATTATCAAAGCTTCAAGCTCAGATAACTTTTCTACCTAATGGATCAACGTCTATGAAGTTTAATAAATCACCTGGCATAATAGCGGTATTGGTGCCAAAAGAAGAAGAATGGCGCTTCTATTCTGTAATAAATGCAAATCCTAAGAGTGATGGAACTTTATTTGACATTCCAGGAGTATGGGCAGAAAATAATCCTCCAGGACTTGCTTGTAACATCCCACCGATACATATTAAGTTAAAGCTCGGGGTGTATCCTGTTAGCCTTTGTATGTTGTTCTTTTATCTACCCCAACAGCTGTAAAGGTGGCGGAAGTGACTCCTTGGATTCATCACTCTAAGGTTAAACCAGAGGCAGACTCTCGGCAAGCTACTCCAGATCCTGAGAATCCTTGCAAGATCCGGTTGAAGCGCATAACCCAGATGGATTGAACGTGTCATGAGAAAAAGTACGAGGGGATATCGAGACATTCTAGTTAAAAGTCTACAGAGATCATCAAGTAGGTGTTTTGACGGCCATAATAAAGCCTGACCACGTGCCTATGTGTCATAAGCCAGAGTGTCTCGAAGAGAGCTTTGTGAAGGAAAGTGAGGTTCAGAAGGACAACAATCCTTGCAGCCCTCACAAGCGGGAAGCTGAGGTGCCATCGCACGGTCGAAGAATAAGATGAGGACCACAAGAATGATGTGCTTAATTACATGTTTTAGTATTTTTATAATTTTTCAGGAGGGTAAAGGTAAGGATATTCAAATTAAGACTACAAAAACAGGTAATCAAATATCCCGAACTCTTATTTGGCACTCACAGTATGAATGTAAGGGCTCTGTATCTAAATGTAGATATTTAGATATTGATTACAGTGTGTGTCACCCAGCAGTAGGAGAGCCTAAATGTTTTGATCCCCAATTCCAACCTCGTACAATTTAGTTGGTAATTCGGAATAGTAACTCCCAGGGGACATTAATAAATAGAACTGTGATAAGCACCATACATTCCACGGGTATTCTATTATTTGATGCATGTAAGGCGATTTTGTGTAGCTGAAAACCTTGGAATGTATGCGGCAATCTGAAATGGGAACGGACTTATGGGTTTGACGATAAATATTTATGCCCTAGCAAAATATCTACTGATCCTGACTGCCCAAATAGAGACTTCAACTTCTGCCCCTATTGGTCATGGGTAGGTTGAGCGACCTGGGGAAAGACAGTAGATCAAGATATGATTATCCAAAGGTTGCCCACTACACTATATTGTAAAACTATGGAGTGTAACCTCGTTCACATGACCATTTCCAATCCGCAGCACTTTATTAACAAGTTTGGAAATCTATTTGGGTTCCAAATATACGGAACAGGGTTTATTATTATTTAAAACACCTGCCTTATTATCAAATAAAAAAGGAAAACCGAGCTGAATGTGTCCTGGACTTTGTATACCCTAGAAGGCTGTGGTTACTGCAAGATCTGTGACCTACCTGTAAAAGAGGTGTTTTTTTATTATGCATATATCTATATATCCTTTTAAAAGATGGAAAATAATATAAAAAGATATCCAAATCCTTGGTCAGTTCTGTTCAATCACTTATTAAGAAGAGGGAAATTCTGAGATCTCTTGATACCAAGCCAAAGTCAGGTAGACCAAAAAAGATTTCAACCATAACTGCCAAAAAAATAGTTTGGGATAAAAAGAAAAACCCACAGGTAACCTCAGGAGAAATACAGTCTGCTCTGTAAAAAGACAGTGTGGTTGTTTCAAGGAGCACAATAAGGCAATACTTCAACGAAAATTAGCTGCATGGTCGAGTTGCCAGAAAGAAGCCTTTACTGCGCCAATGCAACAAAAAAGCCGGGTTACAATATGCCCGACAAAACCTTGACATGCCTCACAGATCATGAAACATTGTAATTTGGAGTGACAAGACAAAAATAGAGCATTATGGTTACAACTATAAGTGCCATGTTTGGAGAGGGCTCAGCAAGGCCTATAGTGAAAAGAATACTATCCCCACTGTGAAGCATGGTGGTGGCTCCCTGATGTTTTGGGGGAGACGTGAGCTCCAAAAGGCATGGGGAATCTTGTGAAAATTGATGAATGCAAGATGAATGCAGCATGTTATCATAAAATATTGTCAGACAATCTGCATTTTTCTGCATGAAGGCTGCACATGGGATGCTCTTGGACTTTCCAGCATGGCAATGACCCTAAGCACAAGGCCAAGGTGAGCCTCCAGTGGTAACGGCAGAAAAAGGTGAAGGTTCTGGAGTGGCCATCACAGGCTGACATTAATATCATCAAGTCACTCTAGGGAGATCTCAAACATGCGGTTAATGCAAGAAGACCAAAGAATTTGCATGGCCTGTAGGCATTTTGCCTAGAAGTTTGGGCAGCTATACCACCTGCAGCAATTAGTAGTTTCATAGATAACTATTACAAAAGACTGCACGCTGTCATTGATGCTGAAGGAGGCAATACACAATATTAAAAACTAGAAGATAAGGGGGTTGTGGCTTGGCCTTAGACTAAGATGGCAGCATAACTTCACTTCTCCCGTCCATCCGCACTAAATCAGGCACTTGCCTGCAGCATCGAGACCCACACACACACATCTCCAAAAGCTCTTACCATGGCCAGCATAGGTTCTGGAGCAAAGCTGCACAGAAATAAAAAAGTGGAACGTGGTGAAAACCCAATCTTTGTCTCCAACATGTTCGCGGCCTTGCAAGTGACTCCGGCCTCACAAGATGGCCGCCATGCAAGTCTGTGCGGCTCCCTTTTTACTGGTCTCTGCCACTGACGATGTTGCCAGCTTCCCCATAGGGAGAAATAGCTCAAATCCTGCACAAACTTGCAAAAGTGAAAATTTACCTGGGCATTGGGGGAAATAGCCCAAACCTCACATGAAGTCAAACCGGAGATACAGGCCTTGGGGGTGCACACATCTGAGGGTGGAATCTGTGGCACAGGCTCACAACACAGTAGTATCCCATGCAGACTCCATGGCACAGCAGCTGGATACCTTGGAAATGTTAGTGCAGAACCTATGCAATCACTCCAGGCAGAACAACTTACACATAAGAGGCCTCCCGAAATGCCAAAACGTAGGCCCACTTACACAGAAAATTGAGAACATTTTCAAACATCTGATCCCTGCAGTTCCAGATGAACGATGGGTGATTGACTGGGCTCACCATGCTCTACAAGCCAGAAGAGCGGAAAGTGTCCATGCCCAGAGACATTTTAATCCGTTTCCATTATTATTCCACCAAGGAAGCCATTGTCAAATATGGCAGAGACAATGTCTTACAATTCTGTGATACTGAGCTGGCGATATACCAGAACCTCTCACCCACTACCCTGCAATGCCGGAAGGAATGGAGACCAGCTGCAGAACTCCTCAGGCGACATGAGACCCAATATACCTGGGGTCACCCTTTTAAGTTGGTAGCAGTTAAGGCTGATAAGATCCATACCCTGATGCCGGGAACCGACCCAATCCCCTTCTTCAGAGAACTTATCATCGAACCGTCACCGGACTTTACCCTGCACACCTGAGTGAGGCAGACGTGGACAACCCTTGAACGGAACTGGCAGGAGGTCGGGGTCGGACCGGACTGTACCACTTGAATGGGAAGATTTGCTGCCATACACCCCATCTGTTCCAGTGCCCCAAACTGGTTACACCTGGTGCAGTGAGACAGCAAGACCGCACACAAGTGCAGATAAGTGCTGGGGGGAACAGGCGTCTGAGGACTCGGGGTAATTTGGGAACACTCATGCTTGTTTTTAAGTTGAATTGTATTATGTGGCAATGTTCTCAAGCAGAATGTAGGGGTAGTCAGGTTAAGGCAATGTTACTTGATCATAAACAAGCAACCCAAGGTTGACAGGGTCGGGAATCAAACCTAGGAAAGTGGTGGGCACGCAGCATAAAGGAGAGCACATAGGGAACGAAGGGCCGGCCTGCTTCATCAGGAGAATTCTCCTACCAGCATATAAAGCAGTACCACAGCATGGAGCTACTTACCCTCAGAGGAGCCGCACACTCACCCCAAGGAAGGGGGGAGACCCACAATCCTTTTAACACAGGGTCAGGTTTGATGACACTCAGATTATTTCACACTTTTATACAATTTATAAAAAAATTTTTTAAAAAAGCTACATTAATAAAAATACCCCCAAAATTAATATAAAATATAAAAGTTCCAACAAAATATCCCGTTCCCAGTTGCATGGTCCACTCTCCATCCCTAGGTGTATATAAGGCAACTCATACGTGTAGAGAACCAACTGAGCCTTCATCTTGATAGTTTCTAGGCCACAGTCTACACACACACCCCAGGACACAATGGCCAAGATTATCCCCCGGGAATGAGGCAATGCCAATAATCTTTGACTTATAGCACTTCAATTATTAGGGGAGACTCAAGGGAGAGAATTGGGCAGAAGACCCATGGAAAATCAAGAGAGGTGAGGGGAGGGGGTAAGAAAAGAGGGTAAAGCCCCGGTTGCTCCCGAGTGATCATTATAATAAATGTTAAAGTGTGTGGGTCTTGCACATCGATGCACAGCGGAATAGCGCTGGGAACACGTGCTCTCAGGGAGAGAGTGGCTTGCATGTCCAGGCTGCTCTGGGGATCTGTAAAACCAGGCTTCAGGTTTTGTTTTATTTTAAAGGACCACTATAGGCACCCAAATCACTTCAGCTCAATTAAGTGGTCTGGGTGCCTGGTCCATCTCTGATTAACCCTGCCTGCTGTAAACATAGCAGTTTCACAGAAACTTCTATGTTTACATTAGGGTTAATCCAGCCTCTAGTGACTGTCTCATTGATTTTCACAGTGAGGCGCTGATTTTCACAATGAGAAGATGCCAGCGTCCATAGGAAAGCATTGAGAATGCTTTCCTATGGATTGACTAAATGTGCGCGCGGCTCTTGCCACGCATGTGCATTTAGCCGATGACGACCAAAGGAGGAGGAGAATCCCCAGCGCTGAGGGAGCAAGGCGCTGGAGAAAAGTAAATGTTTAACCCTCTTCCTCCGCCTTCAGCTTGGCAGGAGGGGGGCCCATGAGGGTGAGGGCACCCTCAGGACACTATAGTGCCAGGAAAACAAGTTTATTTTCCTGGCACTACAGTGGTCCTTTAAGTACTTTGTATGATGCATTTGTGACACTTTCTCATCAGGGAGGCTTCTCTCACAGGGCGCATGAGATTGGCACCAGGTCAGTTGGGGGCTGAGAGGACACAGGAGGGGAAAAGGACATGAGAAGGGACGCTGGGACTAAGGGAGCTGAAGACTAAGAAAGCAGACATCATCCTAATCAAGAAACCCATCTCCCCAGGTCAGCCTCCGTGAGACTGGTAGATAGAATGTATACCAGGACTTATGAGGCCAGAGCAAAGTGCAAGCGTGCTGGGGTAGCCATCCTTCTACATAAACACTGCCCCTTTCAGGTGACAGAAACCCAGCTAAACCCGTAGGGCAGATATGTAATCATTATGGGCACGATACACACAACCAAATTCCACACACTTAACATTTACACACCAAACGACCCGGACCCTCAGTTCTGGGACTCCCTCACTAAATTGGAGAACACCTGTTTTTTTGCATTTTTCATACTCAAACAGCACGGAGAACACCTGGGGACGGGGAGTGGTAGTGGTAGGAGGTGACTTCAATGCAGTGCCGTGTCCGGCAGTCGACAGGAGCTCAAAAAGGGGAGTGCCGCAATTGCACGGGAGAGGAACACTAGACAAACTGATGCACAACTTCTTAGGGCACACAGGACTACTTGATGCGTGGCGACTACAACACCCAGTCACAAGGGACTATACATTTTACTCAGCTTCCCACGATACCCATTTCAGAATTGATAACATTTTAATCAACGGACCGGGAATGGCCAAGGTCCTACACTCTGAAGTCAACAGTATCAGATGGTCAGACCATGCTGACATCTCTGTTACTCTTAAGAGGCTTAAGTACTCCTCGAATTGGACTTGGAAACTAAACACAAGCTTTATTAGACAATGATGGTATAACCCAATCAGTGACCTCGACCCTCAAGGAATACTTTTAACACAATAGTACACCCAACGTAAATTCCACAACCATCTGAGCGGCAAATAAGACGGTTATCAAGGGGCACCTCATCAAAGCAGCCACACACAAAAAAAGATAAACAACTACCCAGTTGTTGGAATTACAGACAGCCCTAAGGAAGGCAAAGCTCCAACATAAGGCCAACCCCACAAGAGAAAAACTGACTGAACACCTCAGACAAACCATTAAAGAACTTTCACTAGAGGGAGTGGCCCGCTCTATCCTATGGTCTAGACACATTTTACAAAATGAATACACTGTTGGCAAGGTCACTACGACCAAGACAAGGGTTCCAACACATTACTAAGATTCTCACACAGTCAGGGGACACGGCAGAAACCCCAGATGACATTAACAAAGTCTTTACACATTACTATTCAAAACTCTACAACCACTCCCCACTTGAGGACGAGCTCAACCCCTCATACGCAGTGGAAACACGCTCTTTCGCGGGCACGGACCTGCAGAGGGTGACAGGGAAGGACTCAGAGGCACCAACGGCCCCAATCACACCTCTAGAGGTGGAAGTGGCCATTAAGGCCCTTAAGGGAAATAAAGCCCCGGGACCAGACGGATATAGTGTGGGATACCACAAAAATTTAGGGAAATTCTAATCCCTCTTCTCACCAACCTATATAATCACTTCATGAAAGGGGGGACCCTGGACTCAGAGATGGCTCTTTCAAACATCATGCTCCTACCCAAACCAGAAAGGGACATCACACAGGCAGCCAATTATAGACCTATATCTCTGATCAACTCAGACTTGAAACTGTACACAAACATATTAGCCTTAGACTTACATCTCTTCGAACATGACTTATACACCCTGATCAGGTGAGCTTCATGCCCAGGAGGCAATTATATGAGAACACAAGACATATCACGGTTTTGACACGGCACATGGGAGTGTCGGGGAGGCCTTATCTGGCACTTTCGCTGGACACCGAGAAGGCCTTCCATAGGGTGAAGTGGCCGTATCGGTTTCCCGGAGACATACACCACAGCGACCCGAACCCTATACTCGAACTTAAGCGCCCAGACCATCATTATGGGCGCACAGCATTCCCCATTCCCCTTACACAAAGGAACAAGGGCCACATACACGTATAAAAGGGGTTACTTTAGCCAGCATGCAGTTCAAGGTCTCCACATATGCGGATGACGTCCTCCTGACCCTTACAGAACCAATGCAGTCACTGGCGCATCTGACAGAGCTCCTAGATCTATATAGTAGAGTCTCAGGATACAAGGTAAACTTGACAAAATATATGGCGCTGCCATTTCACCTCTCGGCTCTGGACACGGCACTGATCCACACCAAATTTAACCTGCACATATCCAGAGATACACTCCAATATCTAGTATGGCTAGAGTATGGCTAACGTCAGACTACACACAGTTATACCGATACAACTATCCATTGCTGCTTAATACCCTGATCTGGGACCTGGAGTGCTGGATGGACAAACCGGTCTCATGGATCAGGAGACTGCATACCATAAAAATGAATGTACTGCCCTGGCATCTTTTCCTATTCCAGTCATTACTGGTAAAGGCCACTTGGGGGGATCTAGCACAATTGCAGAGTACCATAGACACTTATTTGGCAAAGTAAAAAGGCTCAGATTAGCATAAGCCCACCTATACCGCTCCAAGAACAGGGGGAGGGGGGGGTCTAGGGTTACCACACATATCAATACTGTCTCGCAGATCAATTGGCTCAAGTAGTCCACTGGCATTCACCCCCATAGCAGAAATGTTGGGAGCAGATCTTCCCCAATTTATTTTATTCAAACCAGCAGGACATTTAAGATAACATAGCTGGCAACTCAATTCAGTCAGGATATGGGACTTGACCACCTCCAAGTATCACCTTAGCAAGCTACCTTCCCCTATGACCCCAGTCCTCATGAACAGGGCATTACCCCAGGACTAAATGTACGGGACTTTAAGGGGATTGAACGCACAGGTCTCCAGAGGTACGTACAGACCCTTCTCCGGTGGTACAGCACCCCAGTCAAACAAAAACATATCAAGATAAGACACAGAGACACATGCTTGAGGATGTGTGGGGAGAGAGGGAGTAATACCTATGTGTTGGCAATGCCCTAAAGTGAATGAATACTGGGTAAAGGTGGTGCTGAGCTCCCAGATCTTACAGAGGAACCTCACACTGAATCCCTGGGCCTGCCTTCTTTCCAGACCTACCGAGGGTTTAAAAAGACGTGAACAGAAACTGCTTAACATGGTCTATTTGGCTGCCAGACATGCCTTAGCCCCCACTGTTTCTGGTTATAGCCACAATAAAAGATAAGTATCTAATGGAGAAACTGACGGCACAGGTGCAACACTCAGTCAAAACCTTTCAAAAAGGTGTGGAACTAATATGTGGTCTAGGAGGGTAAGGAGGGTAAGGAGGGGTGGCACTGACGATATGTGAGACACTACATGGGCAGGGGGGTGCCGCAGGTTGCCAAAGAGCGGTTGGCGCTTAGAGAGCTCTCGGGGTGATCAGAGGCAGCTGGCTGATTCATGACTGCAGGGTTCTTTGGTTTTGGCCTGGGGAAATCCAGGGCTCTGTCACCCAGGGTCTGTCGGGGGGAGTCCGGTCGGGGTCACAGGTCATGCCCACAAAGGAGCCATGGCGGGAGGAACATTGGGGTGGGCCGCAGGCAGCGGGCGGGGGTCCCTACACAGGGGGAGAGGAGGCCAGAGGGAGTAATAATGCGCACCACACAGCCCAGATGCCTCTTAGCATTACATCATGCATTATGGTATTTCATCTTATCTTATTTCATGTTTTTTATGTTCTTCTGTTACTCTTCTGTTATACGTCACTAAACTGTAAGTCACTGATGGAATGCGTGCAGGCCAAATGTTATGGTGTGAAACATTCAATGCACTAACAAAATGCAATTTTTTCTGTAAACAAACAATATTTATACTGTGACATGGCTTCTGTGTAAGCCTTTATCTATCAGTGCAAAAATAAAGAATAAAAAAAATAAATAAGGGTATACATATGTTTGAACAGGGGTCATTTTATTTTTTGCTTTGTGGCCATGTTTTGTTCTATGATTGTGCCATTCTGTTATAACCTTTAGTTGAATATGAATCCCATAAGAAATAAAAGAAATGTGTTTTGCCTGCTGTGACGGACCCTCCATCAATCGATGCTCCTAGTGCTTACCAAGGACCATCAGCACCAGACACCATAAGCACTGCAGACCCCATGAACCGCCGCAACTTTGTTGGTGTCTCGCCGTCTCCTACCCACACTGGACCTACAACAAGGCTCCAGGCTCCAGTGGGTGAACCGCTCTTTCTTCAGAGAGCGAAGCAGGAACAGCTCTTAGAAGAGCTAATGATTAGAACCCAGGGGAGTATACAGAGTATAGCAATCCCCAGTGTGACCGAACTCTGTGTCAGCGTCCGGCTGATAGCATGAGCTGGCCGCACCCGTTAATAACCAAACATTACAGTGTACATCCATGTCCGGTTCCCTCTACGAGAATGTGTCACTCAAAACGTGTCCTCTATATCCAGCTCAGTATCGGGCTGAGGTTGAGGGAGGGCCGCGCCCTCTAATAACCAGTCAGTGTCCGGTTCAATATATGAGAGGGGTTCGCTCTCTGCTCATGAAAATAAAAGACCTCAGTCTCGGGTCGAGGTGATGGGGGGCTGCACCCTCTTGTAATCCAGACTAGAGTCCCTTAGGGTGACCAACAGCAGGGGTACACCATTTACTAATATCAGCACAAGACTGAGGTGGGTCTCTCAGTGACCATGAGACCTCTCTCTGAATCACTCACCTGAGAGATGGAATCATCTGGTAATAAACCAGACCGAAGGTAGATTAAATAGTATGCAACCTCAGCCGTGTCCATTCTTATAACAGAAAGGGATGATGAGAAAATTCAATCTTCGGAAACAATGATGGAAACTACCAATGGACCGCCCGGATCCCGTGCGCACATGCGGGATCCAGGATGACCATCGGTAGCCTGAGGAAAGCTGGAGACATTATCCGCAATCCACGAGAGCCCGGGAGATTGGAGGAGGTCAAGTCCTAACTACTATCTCGGCATTCACAACAATGACACACACTCTGCATTCACAACACTGACACACACTCTGCATTAACTGTACACATAGCATCCACTACACAAACATCCTGTATTCACAGTACACACACTACATCCACCACAAATTGAAACACTCTGCATTCACTATACATAGACACTGCATCTAATACACACACTACAGACACTGCATCCACTAAACACATTTCATCTAGTACACACAAACACTACATCCACCACAAAACCACACACTACATCACTGTACACACACACACACAACATCCACTACTCAAACTCTGCGTTCACTAAACACACTGCATACGCTACACAAACACACACTCTGCATTCACTGCACATACAGTATCTAATACACACAAACACTATATCCATTACACACATTCTAATTCACTTCCACTATACACACCACATTCAGTCTTGCATCATTGTCAGCGGACTAGGTAGGGTGTGGGCAGCCCTGGGGGGAGGGGTCCCAGACCTTGTGCTTTGTCAGGGGCCCCAACATTTCTGATGGCGGCCCTAGTTGGAATGTATGAACAACGTTCCAAACATAAACTTTCTTGTTGGATGGGAGGAATGAAAAAGGGCTGTGGTGTGTTTAAATAAAGATTTATGTAATCAATAAAGCATAATAGGGTTAAAGCTTTAGAATTATCACACAGGCTCATTTTCGTTTCTTCTACTAGTAACATCACAGACCAGGTAGTCTACTCTAGGTAAGTTACCTCCCAGAAAGCATTCCACTGGGAATAAAAAACAGAGGTAATAGATATTCAGCTTTCACACAGCTTTTCAGCTCTCTTTCTAAAACCCCAGCCAAGGGCTGGGGACATTTGTAAGTTATATATTGTAGTTTTTTTTTCCATTTTCTGTATTGTAGTGTACCGGTAATTCATTATTACTATTATGTGTTATAGCTTGTTACTTGCTATAAATATTGTAGTAATTGACATTTAATATTACAACATTTCATATAATATCAATATTTATCAAAACATTGAAAAACAAATATTAAAGTTGCAACTTATTGCTTAATTAGGAGTATAATTATAGTATATTAAATTATGAATAATATTAATATTCAAATGTAAGCCATGGCTACAAGAATTCTAAAGCAAAAATATAGGCGTGTGAGATTTCATGAGTTATATTCAATTTTACCTTTTAATGCAAAATGGATGAAAAAAACTTTAAACAATGCATGTATTTATGTATATAAGATATACTTAATTTGCATAAATAGATTCACATGTTCCTTTTCTTGTAGACCAGCTCATTAACGAGAAAAACCATCTATAGTCGTCCAACCGTGCCACCCGTCACACCAATATTTTCTCCGTTGATGTAACTCGCATCTTCAGAACATAGAAATGAGACAATGCCACTACATTCCTCTGGTTTTCCAAGCCTAAATACAAAACATTTGTGATATGAGACTACAAAGTATTTATTCCACCATTAAAGAAACAAAATGTTTTTCTTCCATTTCTCATGGGGGGCCTATATACATACAAGCAATAATATTGATTCACTTACTGGAAAGTTGCTTCTCTACTTTAAATCTATAAAATCTATGTTTCTATGTTAACCCACCTGGCCTCTCCCATTTCCTTACTTTCCCTGGTGGCATTATCCTTGTATTCAGCTGCATTTTCACATTGAATAAAATGCAATGGCCAGGCCCTGGAAATATGTAGGGGAAAAAGTGCAAACTCACCCTGCTCTATCATTATTTTTACCACTTACAGACAACTTCACTTTTTTAGCTGGTTCTTCAATCTACCCATTCACTAAATGGTACAAATGTAATAAAAATTACTTACATTATTATATAAAATGTTCTACAAAATTTGTACTCCGCTGGGCAACCATTAGGGGACCATACTTGGACTTTCCACTTCCTTGGTTTGCCTATTTCCAACTTCACTCATATCTATCCTAGCAAATTTCACAGATGCAGTCTGGGACAATTCTATTTATGTAAAATAAAATAGTTGCTCAGGTAAAAATAGCAGTTTCATAAAGACCCAGCTCGATCAAAGCATTGCTGTTTGCTTCAATTAAGCTGCTATTTTGGCTACTACCTTGAGTGCATGGACCATTATTTAATTTACATATCTAGTATTGGGGTTTGGCCATCTTCAGATCCTTGGTTGCCTGGTGAGTGCGGTATCCTCTATCTTTCCACAACTGGGACAATTCTATTGGCTATATAATTTGCTCAACCACCAATCCCACCTACTTGATTTCATGACTTTATTTCCTAAATAGATACATTTCTGATTGGGAACTTATCAAAACTGGATCCTTGCAATAGTTAACCAATTTCCCAGACCTGGCCATTGCAGATTTATTCTACTCCTATATTTATCTATTACAGCTCCTTCCCTTTGTGTCCTTTCAGGGCTTGACTTAGAAACGTTCCAATATGCTTATTATATTCAATCTAGACCAGTGATGGCAAACCTTGTTAAGCCTGTATTCTCAAAGTACAATCCCTCACTAAATGCTTAAACCTCAAGGAAGGAATTAATATGATCTGCACAAGGTGGAGGTGCAGACCATCAAGATACTATTGTTTTAAATTTATTTAATATGTTTCTGATTTTGATGGAGAAAAATAGTATACTCAATGTGCCCCCACCCCACCACACTGCTGCCAGTGTGCCATAAGGCAACCACCTGTTGATCTTTCTGGTAAAACATACACTTGGGGTTCCATCACTAAAGCCAACCTCAAGCCACTGCATGTCATTTCTGGTCATACTGTTTTGCCCATTGCCATGGGCAGAGACAAGGTGACAACTTGTTTAAAATTTACTACTGACAATCCTAATATTCAGCACCACCTTTGGATTCTCCCCTCTCCCTTTTCTCCCCCCTTTCACAGCTACATATAAATATCTATGTATTTAAAATGCAATGTCATAAAGGTCCCTGTTGGTGTAATGGTCAGGTGACCCAATACCTTTGTACATGTAGTGTATATATAAAAACAATAATTCGAGACAAATAATGATACCTGTAAATACCAAATGAGGCTAACTTTAAGTGGATTTCAGGGGTCATTCTGATCTGTAAGACAGAGAACAAATTAAGAGAGTGAGTTCAGTGATATTTAACTAATCTAAAAAGCACTACAAGCACTCATTTTCAAAATGATGTAACAAAGAAGGGTGTGCCATAGATGCTTGCATTATGATTGAATATTCAATATACAGATACAAATGTGATAATAAAAGCTGGACTTAACATCTGAAGCCCTGTGCTACTAGCAGAAGCCTAGGTCATTGCCCCACACATAGAAAATTAAGTTTTAGATCAAGGATACACTTGAGTTAGAGAACAAAATATATTTTTACTGTGGAATAATTCAAAAAAGTAACAAGTTGTCAGACTTAAAAAGATGTTTGTTGGGTACTTTAAAGAGAACATACATTTTAGAAGTAGACTTTCTTAGGTGACCAGAAAGGATACAAACCATTGTGTGCAGCTGCTCACAACAAAGAAAGTTCTTTGGAGTTCAGATTCATTGTCAAGAATTAGAGTTGAGGGAACCCGAACTGCAAAGTTCGGGTTCATACGGAACATTACGGTTTTTGGACCCCGGACCCGAACACTGACATTTCAGTGTATGTTCGGGTTTGAGTTCGGTGTTAGGCGATTTAATGGCGCGTTTTGAAAGGCTGCAGGGCAGCCAATCAACAAGCGTTTGACTCGTGTGCCCGGCTGTGATTGGCCAGTGCAGCATGTGACCCAGCCTCTATATATAAGCTGGAGTCACGTAGCGCCACACGGGACAGCTTAGGAAAGAATTCTGATGTTGAATGTGAAAACTACAGCGATTATTTTAGTGGGTGCTATACTACATTTTTGTACCCTGCCCTGAGCCCACTGCCACATAGAGTGTGTGCCAGCTGCATGTGTGCCAGGCACAATACTTTAATCCTGTTTTGGTAGCTCAGTGGGCAACATCTAGGCATTTTTAAATACTGCAATTTTTTTGGTGCTAAATAGTACATTTGAATACTGCATTTCTTGCAGACTAATAAAACCCCTAAATACTACTGTTACATTGTTGGTTAAAAAAACAAAAAAAAACAAAAAAAAAAAATCACTTTTTTGTGCTTAATAGTACATATGCGGCCTGCGGTGCACTTCATATCTGAGAGTCAAATACTGTTGTTACATCGCAGTTTGACCAATTCATATTTGTTTGGTGCTAAAAAGTACATTTGTGGCATGCACTTCATATCTGAGAGTCAAATAGAACCGTCAAATACTGCTGTGACATTGCAGTTTGACAAATTCACATTTCTTTGGTGCTAAATAGTACATTTGGGGCCTGCACTTCATATCTGAGAGTCAAATAGAACCGTCAAATACTGCTGTGACATAGCAGTTTTAAATATTCAATTTTTTTGGTGCTAATTAGTACATTTGCGGCCTGCGGAGCACTTCATATCAGAGAGTCAAATAGAACCGTTAAATACTGTGGTTACATCGCACTTTAAAAAATACTAATTTTTGTTGGTGCTAAGTAGTACATTTGCGGCCTGCGGTGCATTTCTTGCAGTCCAATAAACTAAAAAACAAACAAAAAACTGGACTATTGGCGGTTACATTGTCGCCTGACATAAACCATCTGTTATTTTGGTGGGTGAACGCAAAGAATGAGGAGAGCGTCAAAAACGGGACCTGGCTCTGGCCGTGGTGCTGCTGGTGTTGGTGGAGCTCCTGTTGCAAGGAGAGGACGTGGTCGATCTGTGCCAGCTACACGCACAAGTGAAACACCTTACGTTATTTGGTAGGCCCGAATGCCGCTCTACGAATGGTGAGACCAGAACAAGTGCAGGCGATAGTAGATTGGGTGGCTGACAGTGCCTCCAGTTCCTTCACATTGCCTCCCAACCGGTCCCCTGCTGAAAGTCAGAGTTGGCACCTGCAGCCCATGGCCATCTGTCTTTCACCTCACCCCCTTGCAAATCAGCCAAGCAGTATAAGCCACAAGTCATGCAGCAGTCTCTTATGATTTTTGATGACCCTGCTGGTGGGGTTTCCGTGGGCCATCCACCTAGCCTTGCACAACCACTTATGTGTCAGGATGTGGACATGCGAGGACCACCACAGCACATCTCTGATGATGACGAAACACAGGTGCCAACTGCTGTGGCTTTCTGCAGTGTGCAGACCGGCAAGGAGGGTTGAGGAGTTGGTGGAAGATGATGTGGAGGATAATGTGGAGGATGATGAGGTCCTAGACCCCACATGGAATCAAGGTCATGTGAGTGACGTGTCCAGTTTGGAGGAAGAGGCGGTGGTCGCACAGAGGCACTAGCACAGCATAAGTGAGAGCACAGTGCAAAAGCGGAGCGGCTGTTCCCTAGACAGTACGCCAAGGAGTTCCCTGTCATGGAAGTTCTTCAGACAATGTGCTGATGACAAGACACGAGTGGTTTGCACGCTGTGCAACCAGAGCCTGAAGCGAGGCATAAACATGCTAAACCTGAGCACAAACCTGCATGACCAGGCATCTACATGCAAAGCACGAGCTGCAGTGGAGTAAGCACCTCAAAAACCAAGAAAGGTCTCAGACCCCTCCTGTTTCCTCTTCTGATGCGGTCTCAGCCTCTTCCTCCACCTCTGGAGTCACAGTGGCACCTGCCATCCCACAAACAGGATGTGGCAGCAATGCCACCACGTCCACCAAAGTCCCCAAGCATCTCCACACTGTCCCATGGAAGCATTTAGCTGTCCATCTCCCAAACACTGGAGAGAAAGAGGGAGTATGCCCCTACCCACCAGCAATCCCTGGCCCTGAATGCCAGCATTTCAAATGCTGAAATGCTGTCATTCCGTCTGGTGGAGACGGACAGTTTTAAAAACCTGATAGCGGTGGCTGTCCCAAAGTATGTGGTTCCCAGCAGTCACTACTTTTCCAAGCAAGCCATCCCTTCCCTGCACAACCAATTGGCGGACAAAATCAGGTGTGCACTGCGCAACACCATAAAGATGTTCAGATGTTCAAAACGGATTGTTTTCCTGGCACTGGAGTTTCCCTTTAAGATGCCATCTTGTCTAAAGTCAGGGAACTTCCCCATGACGTGTGCACCCTCAAGTTTTTATGGCCTTGTATTTTTGCCAAGTTAAGGGAGGTCCTAAAATGAATAAAGTAAAAGAAGTGTTACATTTTCATATATGAACTACGGTAACCCTAAAATGAAGACACCTAAGGTATAAATAGGTGTAATTTTAAATGTTAAGAAACGGAGGAGAGACTTGGAGACAGACGCTGCTCCATCTTAAAATGACAGAGGCTGACATGATGACATGTTCAGGAGGGTATGTTAATCTATTAATGATATTTGCAAGCATTTAGTTTAATCATTTAAACTCTGCTATAATTTATTGTAATGGATTTTATATGCCTATATTTATATTTTTATATAATAAATATCTAAAAGACAAAACATTATTGCTTCCAAGACAATCCTTATTTTATATTGTATTCTCATTTATTTATGTTAAATAGAGGATCTATTACTAATTATATAAAATTATGGCTAAGATCTGTATGGTTAGCCCTGCTAAGTTCTTTGCTTTAAGACGTTATAGTGGTTAATAAGGGAACCAGCCGCGGTTACAACCACAACATACAGAGTATGAACCTACCCTCAGATAGGAATATATAAGAAAGATATGGCCAGACTGTACAGTATAAAAATTAATAAAATATATAATCAAGCAAAAATCAAGGTAAACCAGAGATAAAACAAGTGAGGACACAGAGCTGGGTCAGTATACAAAGAAAGCAAAATATACAACAACATGCTTTTGAGACCACAACAGAGCCAAGTGGGTGGGATTGACAGGAGTATATGCATGCCCAGAATGTGTGTGCACATTGTTCTAGCAATAACACAGGATGCTCTGCATCATTAAGATGATGCATGACTGAAGACATTAAAAAATTAAAGGGACACTCCAGGCATCCAGACCACTTCTGCCTATTGGAGTGGTCTGGGTGCCAACTCCCACTACCCATAACCCTGCAAGTGTAATTATTGCAGTTTTCATAAACTGCAATATTTACCTTGCAGGGTTAACTCCTCCTCTAGTGGCTGACTACTAGACAGCCACTAGAGGGCACTTCCGTGTTTATACCCGACGAAAAGCGTCCTTTAGCGTCGCTGGACGTCCTCACGCTATGTGAGGACCTCCAGCATCACTGAAATCCCCATAGGAAAGCAGTGAAAGCATTTTTCAATGCTTTCCTATGGGGAGGTCTAATGCACATGCGCGACATTGCATACTGCATCATTATAAATGCAGGGAGGACCCACGGCATCAGTAGCAAGACAATAATGACATGGAGGATCAGTGACATGCTGCAACCACAGACAGGTAATGTTTCAGATTGGCTTTTTTATACTTGTCACCATACCTCCTCATATTACATAAATATGAGTTGACAGACCGTGTAATCAGGCAACATGGGTACTGTGCAGGGCCGGACTGGCCCACCAGGATAACGGGAAATTTCCCGGTGGGCCGACAGCACCTGGGGCAGGGCAGACACCTGGGTCTGCTGGCGGCCGCTTGGGGAGCTGGCTCTTCTGGCAGCCACTGGGGGAGCTAGCTGTTCTGTCTCTGCTCCCCTGCCCTCGCGCGCAGCTTAATGAGACCGGGGCCGGAATTTAACGTCATATTCCTGCTCCGGTCTCTCATTAAGCTGCGCGCGAGGGCAGGGGAGCAGAGACAGAACAGCCAGTTCCCCCAGCAGCCGCCAGAAGAGCCAGCTCCCCCAGCGGCCGCCAGCAGACCTCCCTATGCAGCTATCAGAGCTCGCCCTGCGGCCACTAGCACACCCAGCCAGTCACCCACAGGTAATATGTGTCATTCTGTCAGTGTGAGTGTATGTGTGTCTGTCATGGTGTGTGTATCTGTGTCATTGTGTACAGTTGCAAGAAAAAGTATGTGAACCCTTTGGAATTATATGGATTTCTGCACAAATTGGTCACAAAATGTGATCTGATCATCATCATCAAGTCACAACAATAGACAATCACAGTCTGCTTAAACTAATAACACACAAAGAATGAAATGTTGCCATGTTTTTATTGAACACACCATGTAAACATTCACAGTGCAGGTGGAAAAGGTATGTGAACCCCTAGACTAATGACATATCCAAGAGCTAATTGGAGTGAGATGTCAGCCAACTGGAGTCCAATCAATGAGATGAGATTGGAGGTGTTGGTTACAGCTGCCCTGCCCTATGAAAAACACACACCAGTTCTGAGTTTGCTTTTCACAAGAAGCATTGCCTGATGTGAATGATGCCTCGCACAAAAGAGCTCTCAGAAGACCTACGATTAAGAATTGTTGACTTGCATAAAGCTGGAAAGGGTTATAAAAGTATCTCCAAAAGCCTTGCTGTTCATCAGTCCACGGTAAGACAAATTGTCTATAAATGGAGAAAGTTCAGCACTGCTGCTACTCTCCCTAGGAGTGGCCGTCCTGTAAAGATGACTGCAAGAGCACAGCCCAGACTGCTCAATGAGGTGAAGAAGAATCCTAGAGTGTCAGCTAAAGACTTACAAAAGTCAATGGCAAATGCTAACATCCCTGTTAGCGAATCTACAATACGTAAAACACTAAACAAGAATGGATTTCATGGGAGGATACCACAGAGGAAGCCACTACTGTCCAAACAAAATGTTGCTGCACGTTTACAGTTTGCACAAGAGCACCTGGATGTTCCACAGCAGTACTGGCAAAATATTCTGTGGACAGATGAAACCAAAGTTGAGTTGTTTGGAAGAAACACACAACACTATGTGTGGCGAAAAAAAGGCACAGCACACCAACATTAAAACCTCATCCCAACTGTGAAGTATGGTGGTGGGGGCATCATGGTTTGGGCCTGCTTTGCTGTGTCAGGGCCTGGACGGATTGCTATCATCGAAGGAAAAATGAATTCCCAAGTTTATCAAGACATTTTGCAGGAGAACTTAAGGCCATCTGTCTACCAGCTGAAGCTCAACAGAAGATGGGCAACGACCCAAAGCATAGAAGTAAATCAACAACAGACCGGCTTAAACAGAAGAAAATACGCCTTCTGAAGTGGCCCAGTCAGAGTCCTGACCTCAACCCGATTGAGATGCTGTGGCATGACCTCAAGAAAGCGATTCACACCAGACATCCCAAGAATATTGCTGAACTGAAACAGTTCTGTAAAGAGGAATGGTCAAGAATTACTCCTGACCGTTGTGCACGTCTGATCTGCAACTACAGGAAACGTTTGGTTGAAGTTATTGCTGCCAAAGGAGGTTCAACCAGTTATTAAATCCAAGGGTTCACATACTTTTTCCAACTGCACTGTGAATGTTTACATGGTGTGTTCAATAAAAACATGGCATCATTTCATTCTTTGCGTGTTATTAGTTTAAGCAGACTGTGATTGTCTATTGTTGTGACTTAAATGATGATCAGATCACATTCTAGGACCAATTTGTGCAGAAATCCATATCATTCCAAAGGGTTCACATACTTTTTCTTGCAACGGTGTATGTGTGTGTCTGTCACGGTGTATGTGTGTGTCTGTGTGTATTTAAAAAGTGTTTTTACTCACCTTTTTTTTTTTCTCCCACACCGTGCTGGTCTCCCCTCGACTGGCCCTGCCCCTATGGCTGAGATCATCAAGCTTGATGATCTCAGCCAATCCAATGCTCTGCCATAGGATTGGCTGCAAAGGCCCTGCATGTAGGTGCTGCACACTGTGCAATCACACTGTGCAGCACTGACATAGGAAGCACATCTAGTGACTGTTTGAGTGACTGTCACTAGAGGTGTCACTAGGAAGCAATGTAAACACTGCCATTTCTCAGAAAAGTGAGTGTTTACATTGAAAAGCCTGCAGGGACAGGCTATAGACACCAGAACCACTACATTAAGCTGTGTGTGCGCCTGCTAGTGAGTGAGCTTGCTTGCATGTGTGTGTGCCTGCTAGTGAGTGAGCTTGTGTTTTTATGCCAATGAGCTTATGTATATCATTGACATTGTTTGTCTAGAGGCTGCGTATCAATGAGCTTGTGTCTGTCAGTGAGATTGTCTGTGTCTGCATGCATGGGCGTAGGAAGCGGGGGGGATGGATCCCCCCCAGGAAATAATGCGGGGGGACAGATATGGTGAAATCGCCCCCAGGTTAGGACTAGGAGGAGTGCACTAGGAGTGCTGATAACGCTGGTAACATTTCGGTGCATTCGGCTTCCGAATGCACCAGTGTAGCTAACCTGTTAGTTACACGAACAGCGTGATCGGCACTCCGGGGTCTCCTTCCTGTTTCAATGTGGCATGGGCGGAATGTGCTGCAGGAGCAGGAGGACGCACATTTCTGGACTCCAGTGGCAGCCTGTCAGGGAGGAACCTTCAATCAAAGCTGCTGGCTGCTGTGTGCACCGCTGGGACCACAGAGACACAGCCTGGGTAAGTAATGTTGATAATGCTGTGTTAATTAATAATGTGTAAATATTAGCAATAATAAAATGTTTTATGTAGCATTAGCAATAATATACTGTTTTATGTAGCATGGTAATTCCTGTTGCTTCTCAAGACTAGTGGCCCCTATTCTAACATTGCTGTCAGTCAGACAGTGAGTGATGATCATGTCATTAAGTCACAAAAGCCATAAATATTAATGACATGAAATATAAAAAAAAAAAACATTATATAGCATTTTTTCCCCTGTGACTGTAAAACACAATGCAGTTTAGCCCATACTTTGTTTTTTTAGTAATGCTATACCAGTTTATTTTTACTGCTACTATACCGGTTAATTTTTACTAATGCCATGTGGGTTTATTTTTACTAATGCTATATGTCGGTTTATTTTTACTGCTGCTATACCGGTTTATTTTTAATAATGCCATGTGGGTTTATTTTTACTAATGCTATATGTTGGTTTATTTTTACTAATGCTATACCGGTTTATTTTTACTAATGCCGTGTGGGTTTATTTTTACTAATACTATATGTCAGTTTATTTTTACTACTGCTATACCGGTTAATTTTTACTACTGCTATACCAGTTTATTTTTACTGCTGTTATACCGGTTAATTTTTACTGATGCCACGTGGGTTTATTTTTACTGCTGCTATACCAGTTTATTTTTACTGCTGCTATACCAGTTTATTTTACTGCTGCTATACCAGTTTATTTTACTGCTGCTATACCCATTTATTTTTAATGCTGCTATACTGGTTAATTTTTACTGATGCCATGTGGGTTTATTTTTACTGCTGCTATACCAGTTTATTTTACTGCGGCTATACCCATTTATTTTTACTGCTGCTATACTGGTTAATTTTTACTGATGCCATGTGGGTTTATTTTTACTGCTGCTATACCAGTTTATTTTTACTGCTGCTATACCGGTTAATTTCTACTGCTGCCATGTGGGTTTATTTTTACTGCTGCTATACCAGTTTATTTTTACTGCTGCTATACCAGTTTATTTTTACTGCTGCTATACCAGTTTATTTTACTGCTGCTATACCCATTTATTTTTAATGCTGCTATACTGGTTAATTTTTACTGATGCCATGTGGGTTTATTTTTACTGCTGCTATACCAGTTTATTTTACTGCGGCTATACCCATTTATTTTTACTGCTGCTATACTGGTTAATTTTTACTGATGCCATGTGGGTTTATTTTTACTGCTGCTATACCAGTTTATTTTTACTGCTGCTATACCGGTTAATTTTTACTGCTGCCATGTGGGTTTATTTTTACTGCTGCTATACCAGTTTATTTTTACTGCTGCTATACCGGTTAATTTTTACTGCTGCTATACCGGTTTATTTTTACTGCTGCTATACCAGTTTATTTTTACTGCTGCTATACCAGTTTATTTTTACTGCTGCTATACCAGTTTATTTTTACTGCTGCCATGTGGGTTTATTATTTAATTGTATTTATACAAGATCTTTTGAGAATATTGGTTCTATTTATATAGTTATAGTATTTAATTGTATTTATACAAGATCTTTTGTTTTGTTAAAATCAGGCAATAGTGCATTACTTAAAGTATTATTACCACTAGTTTTAAGTGGAATAACTGAAATATATGCCAAACGTTTGGTTAATTTCTGTGACCAGATAAATACAGAACTGTTCCTTTTGCATATTTTTTTGTTGTGAGATTTTTCACACACACACACACACACACACACACACACACACACACTTCAAATTTAACGTTATAAACAACTCCCAGTTTACTGAATAAGAATATACCCGGCAAGCAAATATGCTGTCCCCCCCCATATTTTGGGGGGTTCCTACACCCAAGTCTGCATGTGAGTATGCTTACTGTATAATTAAACATTTACTCTGAAAGGACCAATATTATATATCAGAGAAAGCTACATATATATATATATATATTAATTACGCAACCATCTGGGGTGGCAAGATATTGCTTTACATATTACATACGGCAATATATGGCACAATGACTTATGGGGCTGGCATAGATTTCTTTTCCAGGTCTGATTTGTATCCCCAGTCCGGCCCTGGTACTGTGAGACATTGTCTATTTAGTCAATGTTGATCTCCATTATAAAAGCCTAGGCAACATAAGTGACAACCACATTATTTTAAATGGATGCTTGTTGCATCAAATTAGTCAGCTTTGGGCCACTAAGTTTGGCTCCTGTTGACAGAGGAATTTAACCATACTAGCTCAAACTCTAGGATATTATATGTCATCCTAAGGGTATTAAAGCCGAATATTTCCAGTACTTCATGGAATTTCCCAAGTATATTAAAGAGTTATAGAACCTGGAGAACTATCTGATTTATTCACTAAAGTGAGAATTCAAAGTGAATTTAGAGAGAATTTGAAATGTAAAGGAATTATCTAAGCACCGAATCAACTTTAGCTTAATAAAGCAGTTTTAGCATGTACATGATTCACCTGCAGTCTCACTGTTCAATTCTCTGTTTAATTCAGGAGTCAAATATTTCTTTTATGAAGCTTGAGCCACTCCTCCCCTGTCTGTGCCTCACACAGCCAACATGAAAAAATGGTTTCTTTTTAATCAGCATAGTGTGTTCCTTTTTAGACATTTATAGCTTTTGCTCTGTAAATTCAAATTGAATTACACACAGGAGGTTCATGCGGGCTCTAGCAGGCTATTACTAGAGTAGGAGCTAAAGTATTCTAATTCAAGCAGACTGTAAACTACAAAAGTTTAAACTTTAAATCCCATGTCATTAAATGCTCTGACTACAGAGCCCAGTTTCATATCAGCCTTTCATCCTTCCGAGGTCAATAAATGAATATCATCAATTGGGTAATAATAACAACATCTATTATTCAGCTGCTGATTTGGCCAATTCTGAGAGGGTGCGCTAATAAGCATGTTGAGTCCCACTGGGAATTAGAACTCTCATATTAGTAAGTAGTAAGGTTACAAAAACAAGGCCCTGAAATGCAGAATATTGATCGAAGTTCCAGGTTACGGTTTTAGAAGAATACAGTTTGGAATGGCTTCCTAGAAAATAAAAACTAAATTGTATATCAAAGAACCTTATTTAGGTTGTCTAAACCCAGTCCTGTTTCTGTAATGATAGCTTAGCCCATTTGAAAAACATATACTTGTGATCATGATTCTCAGTACGTTTTATAACCACAGAGTTCACTCTACAGCACACATTTTAGAAATAATTACACTTACCTTCTCACTAAATGTAGTATTTATCAGTCCCAGAACCAGACCATTTACTCTTATGTTCATGGGACGCAGCGAATCAGCCATAACTTTGGTCAAACAGAGTAATGCAGCCTTTGATACAGAGTACGGACCTATAGGCTAGAATAATATAGGGTAAAAACATGTCAAAAAGGTTTGTTAAGGAACCAGCATGTTCTAAAAATGTATCTATGCAAATTTTTTGCAATGCACATAATATATAATTGTTTGGTATTTTTTGGGGGGGGGGAATTTTTTGCTACCAAACCTTTTTTGTTTTTTTTTTTGTTTGTTTTTTAATTCAACTTTATATATATTTTTTAATTTTAAATCTTTTGAGTTTTTTAAAATGACACATACATAAAAGTTTGCATATTGAATCAAATTTTTTTACATTTATTTATAGATAAACAGACAAAAATAGATAAAAACATAAGTACATACAACATTAGTCATTTACCTGCGCAGATGGGGAGTAGGGGAGGGAATGGTCCCAAGTGCATTCATGTCAAGTCTTACATTAGAGGAAAAAAATAGGATTTGACTTGGTCAGGAGTGTGGTCTCCCTCATAACTTTGCAATTTGCTACAACCAGTATTTATAGTTATAATATATTATATAAATACCCCTCTCCATCCTTATTTGGTATAACAACTGCTTTTTAACTAAAGGCCAGCATGGCGTCACCTCACTTTTCTAATCACCATTAGTTTTACTGCAGTCAGAATATGAATAACTATAAAAGAATAAGAGCCAAAGAAGTTATATAAATGTAATATGGAGTAGAAATAACTTGCATATAAAGGGTCCATTAAGCAATTTTTGTATTTTAATATAAATCATATACTAAAACATTTGAAGTGGTTGGCAGTCCCACCAAATATGGGCCAATCCTTCTTCATCTATTTCACATTTCCAACATCTATCCATACAATTTTGGTATATCATTTCTAATCTACTAAGAAATAAGTACTACCTGTTTAATATTTTATAGTGTCCACCAAATTAAGACTGTGCACTTTTTTATTTACCAATCATATAGACTCAATTCACTCTTTAATCAATTTTGGTTTTTAATTCTTGTCCCCATTTTTAATAACCAGTTGGAGAGTTGTATCTACATTCTCACTTATCAATATTAAAGAATCTTCAGCTAGTCTTTTCATTGTGTCAGTCTTAAGCATTTTCTCTAGTTAAACAATTTTATTGGACTTATCAGTAACCAAATGGTTATCCAAGTAGCTCTTTACTCTCACATAGCTGAAAATGTCTCTCTTTGGCAGTTGAAAATTTATAGAAAGTGGAAGGAAATCTTGGATTTTGTGATTCTTCAGTAGATCTTCAATAGTAGCTATTCCAGAAGAGAATATTATGCATTAAATGACTTCGTTCCAATACAGCTACAATCTTATTAACTAATTGGCAATATTTTCTAAATTTATACCAAATAAATAGGAGATTTTTTTTTAATTACAATACTTTGATTTTTTTTTCTTTTCTAAATATCTTTTATTTTTATCTCTTATCGGCCAGAACATTAATTATAACTTCTTTTCTCCATTAAAGGACCACTATAGTGCCAGGAAAACATACTCGTTTTCCTGGCACTATAGTGCCCTGAGGGTGCCCCCACCCTCAGGGACCCCCTCCCGCCCGGCTCTGGAAGGGGAAAGGGGTAAAAACTTACCTTTTTCCAGCGCTGGGCGGAGAGCTCTCCTCCTCCTCTCCGCCTCCGTTACGCCCCGCCGGCTGAATGCGCACGCGCGGCAAGAGCTGCGCGCGCATTCAGCTCGTCGCATAGGAAAGCATTTACAATGCTTTCCTATGGACGCTTGCGTGCTCTCACTGTGAAAATCACAGTGAGAAGCACGCAAGCGCCTCTAGTGGTTGTCAATGAGACAGCCACTAGAGGATTAGGGGGAAGGCTTAACCCATTCATAATTATAGCAGTTTCTCTGAAACTGCTATAATTATGAAAAAATGGGTTAACCCTAGAAGGACCTGGCACCCAGACCACTTCATTAAGCTGAAGTGGTCTGGGTGCCTAGAGTGGTCCTTTAAGTTTTAACAATGTTGACTCTATAATATATCAAGCTGCATTTCTATCCCAATCTAGTTAAGTAATAATTGGGTGCATCAGACCACTGGCCTGCCTGATTACTTTTAACTGAGGTACTCCCAGCCCTCCTTGGTTTAATTTTAATGCTAAACGTTTTGCACCAATGCAAGTTTTTTTTTTTACCAAGCCACACATTTATTGAATATCTAGCATTAAACACTAAAGACCTACTGCTCATAAAACAGACTTGGTCATGATGTATTATTGATGGCATAATAGTATTTAGTCTAGTAGCTAAGATGGAAGAATATATTTTAAGATCTACATTAAGAAGGGATATCAGCCTATAGTTTACAATATTTTCAGAATTTTTATTTTGTTTTAGAATTGGATTAATATGTGCTTTAAGCATTTCACTTGGAACTTGACAGGACAGCATAAAGTCATGACGTGTCTTTACTAGAGGGTTCTTATGTGTATCGCTCAGAGCTAAATAAAGAAAAACATTGAATCTATTTGGACCCGGTGCTTTATATGATTTAAGTTTATTTATAGCATAGTCTACCTCATTCTCTGAGATAGGTTCATTCAATTTAGATCGATGTTTCTTAGATATTTTAGGAGAATTATATTTAAATTATATTTAAGAAAAAAATGTTTGACATTCACAGAGGATCGTCTCTGGCAGGTTGTAGATGCCAGAATAGAATTCTTGAAAAGCCCTACAAATTATTTGGGGGCTAAGTAATATCTCGTTTCCTTGAGTAATCGTGGACACCATCTTACTTGCTCTTTCATTTTTTTTAATCTAGTCATTCATTTATCTGCTTTATTCCTTTTGTAATACGACTTTCTTTGGAGACTTTCAAGGGTGATATTTGCTTTTTGAATCCGTAATTTATTGATCTTGTTTTTGATTTTAAACAACCTTTCACTTTTTTCCTTTGGGGGTCCACTGCTGACTCATCTAATTCTAAGTATAGTTCAGCTGAGCTGGCACCTATAAGGTTTAACTCCTGGGCACCTAATTTAATCAAAGTGTCTCTAAACGTGCACTTGTATGTACACCAAATCATTGGAGAGGAGATATCCTTAGAATCGTTCTCATAAAAAAAAAAAAAGTCTTTTATTGTCTCTAGATTTCATATTTTTGTACAAGAGATCATCAGTAAGTCTCCAGTTGGATCGTGTCTTAACGAAGTCCTCCCCAAGAACCAAGATAACCGCATTGTGATCCGACCAGGACACATTAGTTATCAAAATCTTTTTGATTAGTTTTACTGTAGCTCTCTCTACCAAAAAGTAATCCAATCTGGAGTACACCAGATATGAGGGTGAAAAATAGGAATAGTACCTTTCCTGCTACATCCTGCGACAAAACTTGCGACATCTGTGGCATTGTGCTGTGTGATAAAACTGCACATTTTAGAGTGGTCTTTTTTTGTGGCCAGCCTAAGGCACACCTGTGCAATTATGCTGTCTAATCAGCATCTGGATATGCCAACCTGTGAGGTGGATGAATTATCTCGGCAAAGGAGAAGTGCTCACTAACACAGATGACAGATTTGTGAACAATGTTTGAAGGCCTTTTGTTTACATAGAAAAAGTCTTAGATCTTTGAATTCAACTCATGAAAAATGGGGGCAAAAACAAAAGTGTTGCGTTTACAATTTTGTTCAAAATATATATACACATATATATATATATATATATATATATATATATATATTTGTAGTCGGGGACATAAGCCGTAATAGCAAGATAACTACATAAGAAAATAACTGTCGGTTGTGATGTGCTGGAACTAACGTATGGGGTAGGCCTGTAATAAAAGAGGGCAAAAAAGGTTGATGTACAAAAATAACTTTATTGAGCATGAGTTACATTGCTAGACCTTTAAATGCCAATCTTAATTCTTGTTCTGGTTGCGGAATATAAGTAGTGTATGCAGCAGACTTCCACCACCCTAGTCTTTTAATAATATGAGCCGGGACGTTGTGGCTTGAAGCCGCAGAAGTGGCTCCAATTCTAAATGAGTGTCCAGAAAATCCTGAAGGGTAAAGACAGAGTCTGATGAACAAGGTTCTGATGTAGTATATGAACTTTGTTGTGGTCAAGGGGTTACCATGTAATGTTAGTAGTGGCGTATTAGGACTGAGACCCGCCAGGGTAGAGAGATGTGTGTCAAATAATGTGACGGGGCACCATCGATTACCGGTGGGATTATAGCAGACTTTGGTTGGTGGACTTAGCGGATTTGTTTTGGTGTGATCCATGGTGAGTATGTAGTGGTCTGTATCTTTCTGGAGGGTCGTAATTTTAAGGTGCTGGTGATGCTATTGGTAGTGAAGTCATTTGGTCGTAGGAAACCATAGAAGGCTAGATAAGCTGACGTTTTAATAATAAGATTAGTGTTGGTTTGAATGGTTTGGAGTCCAGGATGTCAGAGAGTGCACAAAATTTGGGACTGTCTATAGGAAGCCTGGAAGAGTTAGTGGGTTTGTCTAGTCATTGTATGGCTTTCAAAATATTTTTTTATGGGTAAGAAGACATATAGGGGTTAGTGCTAGGGTAGGCACTAATGATGTGGTATTGAATGCCTGTGAGATATAGTTTTATTATGTTTAATGATCTTAGGTTAAGGTGGAAAAAGAAGATGAATGCTATAATAGAGTCCAGTGAATGAGTGTTGCTTATTTGATAGTCTGTCGTGAATTTGGTATATAGGGTAAATGCTCTATTGTGTGCACTTGATGTGTTAGTAGAGAGGGCAGTATTGGCTATTGGCTAGATATCTGCTGTGTGACAGCAGTCTTTCTAGCCCAGGATGAGGTCTTGGAATGAGGGGGTGCTGACCGGTCTGATGTTGGCTGTGGGATGGGTCTTGAAGAAGCTGTAAATTAAATTGAGATAATGCGTCAGCGGCTGTATTGGTGTGTCCTAGGATGTGTATGCAGGTGATGTGGAATTGCAGCATAGCAGCTAACCATGTTAGCCTTCGGATTAGTTTCATGATTGTGAGTGAAGAAAATCTGCCCTTATTTATGATGTCACAAGCTGCTTTGTTAATGGGGAGGAATCTGATAGGGGTGTAAGGAACATGACTTTCCCATTCCAATGAGATAGGAACCGCAGCCACAGGCGCAGATCTGCCCTGGTGTAAGCATCTGGTGATAAGGAGCCAGTGTCAGTATTGAGTAGAGGGAGAAGGTACAACAATCTAGAGATGAATGCCCGGCCTTGTGGAATAATTTTCATGGCGAAGTTCAACGTGCCCAGTAAGGATTGTAGGTCTGACCTGGTACACGTGTCCTTGGCCTAAAAATATTCCACTAACTCTATAATTTGCTGCACCTTCTCCCCTGGAAAACTAGCCTGTAAAGAGACAGTGTCTAGGGGAATACCCCAGAAGGTAAGATTGGTGGTAGGGGCTATGTTTTTTTTTTTTTTCAGACAGTGGGACCCCCAATGCTGCAAATAGAGCCAGGGTCTTCTGAAGACTGACTGGACAGGATTGAGGTGATCCTATGGTAAAGAAGTCGTCCAAATAATATAGAACTGAGGGGCATTGTGTGACGTTTAGGAACAGCCAACATAGTGTGTAGGCAAATATATCAAACAGGTTTGGACTGCTTTTTGCTCCAAAAGTTAACAGAGTAGCAAAATAGTTCTTGTTCTCCCACCTGATGCTGTGCACATGCCACAGAGATGGGTGAATGGGTAGGAGCTTGAAAGAGTTAGATATATTGGTTTTCCCTAACCAAGCTCCTACCCCTGTCCTTAAAATGGCCTGAATGACATCATCCACTGTGGTATATTGCAGGGAGAACTATTCAGAGGGGATTAATGAATTGATGCTGGGGGTAGCTAAAGAATGGGGAGCAGACAAATCGTAGATAAGTCTTTTTTTATTGCTGAACTTCCCAGTGGCTATACCTATTGGGTTGGTACGTCAGCTGGAAAATGAGGGGTGAGAGAAAGTGCCCAAGATAAACCCGTTGGTTAACTCCTTCATGAGCAACAAATCAGTGGTGACAGGGTCAAGAAGGGCAGAGTGTAGGTTGGGACATTTGTGAATACCTGCAGGGAGTGTAACTAGGCCAGTGTGGAAACCGTTGGTGGACCCTTGGACCAGGAAGTCAACTAGGTGATGGGAAGGGTGTGCCTGGAGGTAAAATGCCAGGTTGTCGATGCTAACTTTGGTTAGTCATTGTTTTGGGTACAGACGATTTGGACAGTTGTAAACCCACAACTTCCTGAATTAAAATTGTTGCAGATTTGAGCTTTCCCAAGCTATACTATGGGTCTTGTCATTTAATCCTCTGTGTTCTGCAGTGGAGGAACCAAAGGAAGCACGACTAGTGGTAGGAAGGCTTGGATCGACTGGGCACAAGTTGGTGGAGTGAGAGATGAAGGCACACAAGGTGCAAGATGGAGATTTTTGGCCGGCAAAATGATGACAGAAAAGTTCTGTGTCTAGCTTACTCCAGCTGGTATGGGTGTTTAACTGAGTAAGGGATGCTGCTGACTTAGCTGAAAATGATTTATGATTGTCATAAAAGGAAAAAAACACCATACTTGTGCCCTAAGTCCACCAACTTGTGCATATACAAATCCAACTTCTCCCTACAGTGTGGGTAAGTGGAACAAATTACATCACGATAGAGGCCAAAAGCAAGGACAAACTCAGGTATGGTAAGTTTCCGGTTGAGTCTCGGGTCTCTGGCTTTTAACACAACTGAAAGATCGCCGTAGCCGTAAGCCTTGTTCTCTACCACGTCCTGAGAAGCAATCAGCAATGACACTAGGTTTACATCCTTGCCTTCCAGAATATCTATACGTATGGTCGGGGTACGAAGTGAGCGGGCGTGATGTGAGTGGAAGTGCTTGTAATTGGGTTTATGGGGGTGTCATTACCGTGGGGTAGGGGAGTCGGAGTGGGGGTCGCTATGGGCGAGGTGACTGACGATGTCTGAGGGGATTCCAACTTGTCCAGCCTAACGCTGATTGTGTTGATAGAGGCCAGGAGAGAGGACATCAAGCCCTTGATCTCTGTATGATTGTCGGAATGCAGGACCACTCCTGGCTGGGGAGAACATGGTTATGAAAATCTTATACAGTTCTGCCTTGCGGGCTGTAGCCAGAAACTGGACCCCCATGCGATGTAATTCAGCCGCATGCTTGGGTATAGTCCATGACCGGAGAGAGTACGGGCTGGCTGGTTCTAAGTTCTTGGTAGGGTTGCTTGGGCCGGCTGGGGTGGCAGGCTTGGTTGGGGTTTTGGGTATAGCCAATTCTTCTTCTTGGTCAGGAATTTGAGACATACTTAAAGGAAAACATGGTAAAAATATGGCCTTAATCGTGAGCAATGGTGCCTGGTCAACTGGTTCTAGCTAAGCCTGAGGCAAAACATTAACTGACCTACAAGGAAGATGAAGCCCTACTAGTGCCCGTGGTGACC